GCTTCTCTGTGCTGATATCACCAGGGCCAGAGTCTTTGCAACTCCCCCGTTTCCTTCTGAGTCCAGAGCTGTCTAGCTCCGGTCTTGCTCTCCTCTCTCCTCAAGTTTAGGAACTGTTTCGCCCTGTGCTGGGCCTGCCCTTTCATTTCAGCTCTTGTGGGGACAGGCAGAGCGACAACCCTGTATTTCTTTGCATCGTGGGGAGGGGTGTGGAAGATGCGACTGCATTCCCCAGGTGGAGGCTCGCCAGCTCCTAACACCTCATCTGGCCTTGCATTTCTCTGCAGCTTGCGTATCTTGCCTCAGGGATGTACCCTCAACTCCACCTGCAAGGATGGCACCCCTTGTGAGGCTGGCCCTTTAGGCACCAACTGCAGTTGCCAGGAAGGCCTTGTTGGCTTGAGGTGGGTCTGGGGACCAGGGCCCGGGACATTGACTGGGAGCTTGCTTGCCCTTGGTATTTCCAGCCTGCGCAAGGGAAATGGGGTCCCCCTTGTCTTGTCCCTCATTGACATCTGTGCCAGATGACTCACCAATGTTACTTGGCAATTCTGGGACTTCCAATACCATCATCTGTTAGGCAGATGCCAGCTGGGCAGTAGTTGTCTCTCCAGTTGTCCATCTTTTCTTTTTTCTTCCCTCCCTCCTTTCCTTTCTTTTTGTTTTGTTGTTTGTTTTTCCAGACAGGGTTTCATTATGTAGCTGGCTGTCCTGGAACGCACTCTGTAGACCAGGCTGGCATCAAACTCAAGAGATTCACCTGCCTCTGCCTCCCAAGTGCTGGGATTAAAGGTGTGTCCCACCACTGCTGGACCCACCCAATTTCTTAAAGCCCTTTGGTCCCCAGTGGACATGGCCAAAAATGCAACTTCTGAACCTCCAGGAGGTGCAGTCGGCATCCCTGCCCTGCCCTACACCCTGACCCTCCTGCCTCCGTTCTCAGTGGAGTAGGAACCCTGAGCCCAAGGGGACCGAAAAGGTGATGGAAATCACCTTCAGCTCTGGTCCCCTGGCAGGGCTGAGCCAAGCAGGAACAGTGGCTGATAAGCTTTGGTGGGTGGCGGCGGGGAGTATCTAGGAGGATGGGAGGCGGCAGTGGGTGGAAGAAGTTAGCTTCCTCAGCCTCTGTCTTTTCCAGATGTCCGAATCTTGACCTGTCCTGTGGAGCCAGCCCGTGCTTGAATGGGGGCACCTGCCGGGCCACCAGTGGCATATTTGAATGTACTTGCAGTGCAGGATTCTCCGGCCAGTTCTGTGAAGTGGTGGTGAGTGGTACCGAGGGGTGGGCTGCCAGGCCTGTTTAGACCTTAGCAAGAGGACAGTGGGTAGGGAGGGTGTGGTCCTTGTGGTCTTGACACTGCACGGACTCTGCTGAGGGTGGGGAGAGGACACTCAGGCCCCTTCCAGGACCTCGTGTAGGGGGTATTTGCACCTCAGGGAGAGCTTGGGGAGCATCAGGCATCAGGAGCTTCCTGCTGGTATCCAGGGTAGTGGCAGTGGGGACAGGTTCCAAGTGTGCTCTGGGACCAGCCTCTGAGCCCACAGGAACACGCGGCCTGTAGTCAGTCTCCTTGGGTTCCAGAGCCTAGTTTCTGAAACAAATCAGGCTTGGGCACTGCAGGTATCCTTGGCCCCAAGGAGGCTTGGCTGACAAGGCATGGGCCTGTGGGGACTAGCACTGAGCCTTGGAGAGGCTCTGAGGCCGACAGTGGGTACTGACATGAGTTTTCAGAAAGGGCAGTCTGGGGAGGCTCCCGGCAGGCTGGCTGTTAGCCAGGAGTCCCTTCTGCTTCTGGAGAGGGGTTCCTTTCAAGGTGAACTATATAGGCTTTGCCTCCCCACCTTCCCACCAGACCCCACTACACACACCAGGGGAAGGAAATGGCTTTACAGCTCCAGCTGAAGTGCTGGAGAGGGGGAAGCTATGAACTTTATAGCTTTGGGGCCCCTTCTTGAGGGCTGAAGACTCAGAATGGGGCAGCAAGTGACAGACAGGATGTAGGGGAAAGAGCCTGGTCTCAGGGCTGCTCTGGCCCTGATTCCGGGACTTGGGGGCTCTAGGCACATAGAATCTTCAATGGGAGCACCATGGGGCCCTATGAGTGGGAAAGGGAAATGCTGCCCTCACTCCCAAACCAGGCTGTCAGAGAACCCCTCGCAAGCAGGCAGGCCGTAGGGAATTCTGTCTGTCCTTGCCATTAGTGTGGGCTCAGTTCATTCCGGCCCTGCTTTTTGCTCCTGCTTTCCTTCGGCTGATTGTTGTTGAATTCTGTGTCCCCCTCCCACGCACGGCTGGAATGTCCACTGCCTACCTTCCGAGCCAGGGCTCTGCAGCACTCCCCTGGCACTGGCTTAGACAAGTGGCTTCCTGGCTTCTGCCTGCACATCCCAGGGGCTGCCTGTCTCACTGACTCTGGGACTCCTACTTCTCTGAGTCTTCTCGTCATCCATCTCTTGCAGAAAAGCCTGCCTCCACCCCCGCCATTCCCACTGCTGGAGGTAGCCGTGCCTGCTGCCTGTGCCTGCCTCCTCCTCCTCCTCCTGGGCCTCCTCTCAGGGATCCTGGCTGCCAGAAAGCGCCGCCAGTCTGAGGGCACTTACAGCCCAAGTCAGCAGGAGGTGGCCGGGGCCCGTCTGGAGATGGACAGTGTCCTCAAGGTACCACCAGAGGAGAGACTTATCTAGGCTTGCCTGGCTGCTGGTGCCATGCCCTGAAGGTCACTGCAGGACTCGTACCTGGAGCTTGAAGGAGACTGTTTCCAGAGCTGGAACATCCATTGGATGCGCCCCCATGGTTGGCAGCCCTTGCCCCTGTCCATCACGGACTCAGGAAATGGGGAACAACTCAGGGAAGCAGAAGGGGCTATGAGAGTATGAACTCCTGACCTGCTGGGCTATACAGGGGTTACATGTGAGTGCCCATGGTATGAGAGGTGCGTGAGGGTGTGTGTGAGTGTGTGTATCTGTCTGTCAGAGGGAGAGGAGGGAAGAGCAAGGAGAGGAGAGGGGAGGAGAGGAGAGGGAGAAGGGAGCATGTGCTGGTCTGCAGACTGTAGTGTGTTGTGACAGAGCTTGTGGGCAAGCCCTGTGTATCTACATGACTGTAGTAAGGGCTTCACGTCTGGGGACAACCTGGATGCCTCTGAGACAGGGGCAGCCCCAGGCTGCATGCTCGGTAGCATTGGACAGGACAGAGCTTGCCCTGGCACCTAGACTTTGATCTTGACATCTTGTTCAACTTCTAAGGACAGCCCTTGTCCTGGAGAAGCTGGAAAATGGGGATAGAGTCTTGGCTTCCAGACCAAAAGCCCTTGAGGGCAGATCTGATTGACAGTGCCATGGCCTTGTCTGCAGGGCAGGCCTGCAGGAACCAAGGAGCAGCTGCCCTGAACTGCCCTGCCTGCTGTGGGCATTTGCAGGAGTGGAACGCTCTCTCTGCCTACCTCACAGGGCTATTCTGAGGATCCGATAGACAACTCCAGAGCTTTTAAAACTCCAGTCTGATGGGAAGAACTGGCTGCCCTTTCAGGTTTTGTAAAGTGTCTCGCCTGTCTAGAGTTGAAAGGGCTTCCAGGACCCTGGCAAGGAAACCACAGGTGTACAAGAATGGAGGTGTCATTCTCTGTTCCTGTCCCTTGCAAACTCTCCACCTTGTGGTTCTCCAGCTCAGGCTGCCCTTTTGCTTGCAGTTCCATTGCCAAGGAAGGCCTCAGTTGTGGCCAAACAACAGTGCCCAGCAGATGGCACCGGGTAGTTTCTGCACTGGCGCTCAGGCTGCAGAAGCTGATTACATCCTGTGGATACTCAGTGCCTGACTTCTGATCTCCCCTCCCCCACGGCCCTTTGACTTGAAGATGTGTTCTTATCCTTGTTTGGCGGCGGGTCAGTGCCTCCTTACTGGAGTTGCCATGTGTAAAGGCCAGATGACTTTACACAAGGAAACTGGATGTTTCAAGGTTTCAGTCACTCCTGAAGGCACAGCCTTGAGGGCACCAGGTGCTCAGTAGGAGCTTTGTTATGAGACTATGCTAAGCTAAGAGGGCTGCTTGGTTCTTACTCTGTAGTGTGCCAGCTGTGTCCTTTGGGAGAGGGGAGAGGAACCAGGTTCCTGGGTGAACTGTTGCAGTTGCCAGCTCCTAAGATGTTTCCCGTGGAATGCCAACATATGAAACATTCCAGCTCCACTTCAGCGTCACCAGCGTGGCCTCCTTGTGGTACTCACTTGGAGGCAGGTGCTGTTCTTGCTCAGATCTGGGGAAGGGGTGGAACTTGTTCCTTCCTGGAATCCTGCCCATCTACCCACATGCAATTCCATCCCTGGGAGGGAAGGCGCAAGTGGTCACAGGCTGGAGGACAGTTGCCTCTGCTTCCGCAGAGCAGCTGCTGAAGATGGCGAAGTGCCTGATCAGGTTTCCTGTCCCCCAGAGCCCCTTCAAGGACTCAGGACCACAGCCCTCTCCCCAATTTTATTGACCACACACAGAGTTCGTGGTTGGGTTTGCAAATTCTGCTCGGCGAGTGGACAGATTACAGTGAACATGTACACTGGCCGCAGTGGGCCGTGGGTGTGTGCCACTTCCCAGGCCGCCTGGCACCTTGTCACCCCACTGGCTCATTGGGCTGGGACACGGCCTCATCTCAGGTGGGCCTGGAATTTGCTGGGATGGAGGAAGTGGATCTAAGACCTGTCCAGAATGCCAGGAGGGTTCCCCTGACCCAGGAGAGATCTGCCTCCTAGCAGCTGTGGACATCCCAAGGCAGAGCCCTGGGTAGGGATGCATCTCAGGCCTGGCCTCAGAGAGCCCTGCGCAACCTCCCAGACACAGAGACGGTTCCCTAGAGTGACAGGGCCTCCAGTGACCCCACCCCCCTGTATCCTGGGGTACCTTGAAACCCCGGGGGTAGGCTGTCTGACGGTTCACACATAGGAAATGAGAATCAGGTCAAATGTGCACAATTTCCTGCATGTCTCTGATGGATGTTTTCTTAAATGGTTAGGCTGTGTTTTACCTTGGTTTATTGAAAGGAATCAATTTTCAAGATTCGTCAAATCAATAAGGTAAAAAGAAAACGAAGATCAAAGAAACAATAACAACATTTCATCATAACTTTGGTGACTTGGCCTCAGGAATCTCTGCGCTGGCAGGAAGCTGGAGGTGGGGGGGGGAGGTGGGGGCGAGCTGGCTTCCAAGTCCCCACTGCCCCAGGCTGAGAGTATCACTCCAATCGGAATCTGGGTTGGGGGCATAGGGCCCCACCTGGTCCTGACCCAGGAGCCCAAACAGCTGTGCCTCCCCCTTTGTCTGTGGCAGGAAGCTTGTCTTTTGAGTTGGAATCTGGGTCACCACTGCCCAATTCTGCCCATAAAGCTCCAAGTGGCCAGAGCCAGAGCCGGAGCTTTGATTGACATGAAAGCCCATAGTTATGAGGGTAGCAGAGAGCTGAGGGCATCTCCTAACACTCAGATTTGGGGGTTCTCTTAGAAATCAAAGTTGCTGGTGTTCCCAACCCCTGAAAGGGCTAGCTGGAGCTGGGTTTGCCGGCCATTAGATCCCCAGACTCCTGTTCCCCAGGAACAACTCAAGTTTGGTGGTTAGGCAAAGACAGGAAAGAGTATATTGCTAGAGAGGTTTGACGACCACCAGGGAGAAATGCTGGCCCACAGGCGGGCCTCATTTTATCCCAAAAACCTGTGTTTCCCCCCCCCCCAAAGATGTGCTCACACTGGGTGTTACTGACATGTGCCCTGTGGGGCAGGGCCCGGTAGAGGAGGAGAGCTGGGCTTAGGGAGCAGCCCTGAGCTTCTTGACTCCTCTTGGGCTACATACAGGAGGGAAGGTGTTAGGACATGGTTGGCCCAGTTGACATAGTGCAGAACCCACACAGGGTGCTGAGGAGGGTGGCAGGCAGCTCTTCTGGGACAGTACCGTTCCCAGGGCCAGGCCTCAGAGATGGGCTGTGGAGGAGAGGGGGCAGAGAGTCCCTTTGCCCCAGTGGAAGCTGGTCAGAAACAGGACAGAGGGGAGGCATGGCACTCGACAGTGGCACAGGCCGCTCACTCGAAGGTCTCCCACTGCCTACGGAGTTGCTCCACAGAGGCCGGGGCTGGGGCTGGGCTCACGTCTTGCTTGGTTTTTCGTAGCAAATCCTCAAAAGGGTCTCTGGCCTGTGCAGGAGCAGAGGGCTGCAGGGCTGGCTCTAGACCCTGGGGGGGTCTGGGAGGCAGCAGTGGGGGTTCACTAGGCCTCTGGACCAACCCCTGCTTGGCCTCAGCAGCCCTGGCACTTGAGCGTGCCAGAGGCAACGTTCGGATCCTGGAGGGGGGTACAGCTGGGGGGCCAAGTGGCTGCAGGGGACTAGTGTGGGTACCCATGGGAATCTGGCCAAAGAGATTGGGCATGGAGAGAGCAGAGAGGTGCGGCTGAGACCTGTGAGGGCCATAGAAGCCAGAACCAGACAGCAGGATACTAGGTGCATATGCCGGCCCCAGGGATGCTGGAGGGGTCCCAAAATGCCTGGCTGGTGTGGAGCCCAGGGACAGGGTAGGTGGTGCTGCTGGCATAGATGGGACAAAGGGATTGAGGGGCGGCTGTACAAAAGGGGTGGGTGTCACTGTTGGGGGGAAGCTGAGCTGGGGAGTGAACGAGGTGGCCACATTGGGGGTGGCAGGATGTGGTGGGATGGTGCTGCCTGACCAGGCTGTATTAAGTGGGTCCAGGAGGGCAAGCAGGGCATCACTGCCTGAGCCTGCAGCTCCTGGGGCTGGGCTGAGCGGCTGCAGAAGTTCTGCGGTGCCTTGGGGCGCACTGGGGAGCAGCCCTGACAAGAGCGCGGGGCTCAGGGCACCTCGTCTTTCTCGGTCCATCTGGAACGGCTCTGAAGAGAAGTCGCCAGGCGGGCCACCAGCAGCCTGGAGCTTGGCTGGCCGGGCAGTGGGCGGTGGAGGCACAATGCCCAGCTCAGGGGTCTTTCTGCCTTGTGGCCGGGGAACGGTGATGCTGCCCAGAGCTGAGATGGGAGCCTCCTCCTTGACGCTGGGGCTCAGGATGCCCTCCTGGTTCTGGGGTCTGTAAGGCAGGGCTGGGGAACTACCAAGCAGAGCTGCGGGCTTCTCAGGGGAGGTGGTGGAGGGCTTGGTGGGGATGGCCATGTCGTCCTGACCCAGACTCCAGAGCTTAGTGTATGGATGAGGAAGCTTCAGAGCTGCAGCCATGCCAAGGCCCCTTTCACTTCTGCACAGGTCCAGCCTCTGTGGGGGAGGAAGGAGGGAGTGGTGACCACAGGCTGGCCCAGGCAACAGTAGAAAGTACATGCCTGTTCCCAACCCTTCCTCGTGATAGGCACATGGCTCCTGAGACAGGGAGGAGACACAGGTTCCCAGGACTCCTGCAGAGATCTAGGCCTATCTGGACTTAGAGCCCTATTGTGTCCCACAAAGGGAATCCAGAAGAATCTGTCTTTTTACAAAAACCTATGATTGCCAAGCAGTTTCAGGAAAATGTCCCATCTGTGCGCCACCTAACAATGGCTTGGGTCTTTCTGCTGTTCAGAGACTATAGTATCTTTGGTCACTCACAAGAGGGCAAGTGGCTCCAGGCCTGGATGAAGACACGTGAACCGGAAAAGGGAGACTGTGAGTCCTGACTCTTGCCTGACACTTGTAGGCCATTTGACCTGTCTCTGGACTAGAGTTGCTTTATTCCCAGAAGGTGGGATAATCTGTGACTCCCGGAGGGGGAAGGTGACTGATAGTCACATTGGGAGAACCAATCCAGAACCCAGGAGTTTGATCCGAGGAGCCCTGGGGGGTCTGGACAAGCCTCGAAGCAGCCTACCCTCTGAGATAAGAATGGAGGCAGGCAGACACCCCCTGCTGTGCTAGCAGACAGCTCTGGGCGATGGCTGGCAGCTTGGTGGTGCTGCTGGCAATGGGGTGGGGTTGGAGTATTGACTTAAGATGGGTGGGGAGCGTGTCGGAAATGGCATGGATGACTTGGAGGACCTAACTCATAAGCAGGAAACACCCCATACATACCTGGTAGTCAAAGCTCCCTGGCTGTTCCTGCAAGTCTTTGGGGGCCCGGAGATCCTCCAAGCTCTTGGCTTGGCCCAGTGGCTGCAGTGGTGCCTCCATGTCTAGGCTGCTGAAGACATCTTCTAGAAGGTCAATGCTCGCAGCTCTGTCGGGTGGAGCAGGGATAGGTCCCCAGGGCTCAGGAACTAACTGCTCTGGACTCTCCGTCTCATCACCTTCTGCGCTGTCAGATTCTTTCAATGTCCGGTATGGCTGTGGCCTGGGAGGAAACAAAGCCAGCTGAATTTTCCTCTAGGGCATCTGTGGGAGCAGCAAGTGGCCCTAGCCCCATTTTTTTTTTTTCTTTTTTTTTCTGGTTTCTCCTGTGGCTAGATTGTGTTCTTCTGTGTGCTTGGTGCCCTGGGCAGAACGCTGTGGCTCTCACCTGCTCTGAGGAGACCTCGAAGTGCCCTAGAGCCCAGGGTCTTTGTATGCACACATACAAATGAGGCAGGAGTGGAGGGGACATTGCATTCGCGCACATGTATTCCTTTGTCCCTCCTGCTCCCTGTATAGTAAGCAGCCTCAGCTTCAGGGTCAGGTCCAGAATATGCCTAACCACGAGCATCTCTAAGGAGACTTCTAGGCCTCAACTTGTAGGACTTCTGTTTGAGCCCGGGTCGTAGCCCTCATTGGGAGGACCTGGGCAGGTCAGTTGATCTTTGTGAGTGTGGCTCTGTGAACAAGTACAGAGGCTATGCAAAGCTGGCGACAACCACCCACGCATGCATGGCTGTCACCTGCGCTCTACACACATCACAACCTTCGGGCGAGCTGGGCCTAAGTAACAGCTGGTTCCTTTGGCTGAGCCTCAGGGCAACATTGAGCTGTGGGGAGGCGGTGCCTGCCCTGCCTGAGGTGAAGGCTGGCTAGTGCAGCGCCCTGGTGAAGTAGGCGGAGGACTCCACCTGCTGGTCACAAGCATGGTGACACCAAAGGCTCACTGAAAGATTAGGAGGGAGGACAGCCCCAGCTCTGGTCATCAGACGTTGTTGTCTGGGACTTACACTCTACAGATGAGGACATGAAGCTCAAAAGACTCAAGAAACTCATTCTGTGCTTCACATCATCCAGAAAGGGGTGGAAATGGAGGCCAAGTGTGAGATTCTCCAAAGTCCTTGCCTCACTGACCAAGGAACTCAGGAACCTTTAATCTAATCTGAGCACAAAGGAAGGGATAAGGAAGAGTCCTACTTCCTAAACGCAAGGGAGCAGTAGTTTTTAACCCTTAGTGTTGTGAATTAAGGTGGAACAGCTCCTTTATAAACACACAGCAAGCCCTGAACTGGCTCTGGGTACAGGCTAAAGAAGAGAATTTTTATCCACTGCTTAAAGAAGGAAGCATCAGGGGCCCCTGTGTCCAGCATGTGAGGCCCTGGGTTCTATTCCCAGCACCATTTAAGGGTGTGTTTGTGTATGTGTGTGTCAACCATTTAATTCAGAGAACCTAATAGGGTAAGGCCTTGGGCAGAGTCAGTGGGAGTCCCCTAAGCAGGTTGCTTTTTCTGCAGGGTGATTTGAGGTTGCCTCTCAGATGGGCATGTGTTGTTTCAAGAGCTCTTTGTTCTAACTAGTAATAGCTACATCAGTAGGCACATTAAACCTGAGACAGCAGAGACAGTACCGCTGGGGAAAGCCTGATTCTTCAAACTTTTTTAAAAAAAAAAAGATCAAAGAGAGAATGAAAGTAGTGGAAAGGTGCGTGTGAAGACCAGGGACGAGGGACTACATGGACTACACACTGCTGTTGCTGCAGTAAGCTGCCAGCAGGAAAGGGACAGGGGCAGGGTAGCCTTGGACTCAGACAGTCCAGGATGACGCCCCAGGGAGAAGGTGCTAGTGCTGGTGCTGGTCAGAAAGGAGGGTGGGGCTGAGGGGTGGACTGGTGGAGGAAGACAATAGTCCCTCAATAGTGAACTGGCCAGCAGCTAGCACTCTGGCAGGTTGTGGTCACACCCCTGAGGCTCCTGGGTAGAACACTGGTATGTAAGGTGAGCTTCTTTTCCTTTAAAAAGAATTGCTGTTTGTAATTTGTATGCAGCTTAGGATACAAAATAAGATAATTAAGATGAAATTAATTTTAAGAAAGCCAGATAGACCATAACATGTAAATAAGACAGATCTTGTATATAGCTCAGACTAGCTTGGAACTTGCCCAGGCTAGTCTGAAACAGTCCTTCTATCTCAGCCTCCTAAGTGCTGAGACTACAGGTGTGCATCATCATACATGACTGATATGCTGGTGTTAACACATTTCATGTAACTAAAGTTGGCTTTCTACTTAACAGCCAACTTTACTTCCTTCTCCAAGGCTTTCTAAGATGCACTGAGAAAAGGAGGATCAGTAGTCAGGCTTACTGTTCCATTAATCAAGTCATTTCCCCTTGTAAGGAATGGAGACCAACACTTCAGCCTCATCTGTTACCTGTCACAGCCATGTGGGGCTGGGACAGCAGGAGCCTGAGAAAGCCTGTAGACATGCCATCCACCCTGTAAATAGGCATCCGGGAACTTTTCTCCCCATGGCAGCAAGCAGCTCCAGTCCCCCACGCTCCCCCCTGAACCCTAAGAGTCACCAGGTTGAGCCCAAGGAGCTGGAAAGAGGAAGAGAGACCATTCAAAGGGAGCAGAGAAGAAAAGGCTTTCAGTGAAGCCAGTGCTGGGGGCCTCTTCCCGTCGGCATTCCTCATCAGAGGAGTCTTCAGAGAGGAAGACAGCATAGTGTCGCAAGGGCTTTACCAGGCTGGACAAGAGAGAAAAGAAGAGGCAGTTAGGGTACCAAGAGAGCACCATGAGAGGGTGGGGAGAAGGCTCCAGGGCACCCACTGGGGTAAGGAGGCTGACTCTAAGCAGAGAGGAAGCTGGGTTTGCCATGTGTGTCAAGGGCCTTGAACTCTCACCCAGCAATGTCTGGCCTGGTTAATTTACGCTAACCCTAAATTAACAATGAACCCTCACTGCTCTATTTAAAGTACTAAAATACTTCCAGCAAGTGGAACCAGGCACTGCTGGCCGAATGCTGTCTTCCCATTACATATAATGCTAATGAACAGAATTTAAAAGCACGACACAGTTGCTATTTTCATGATTGGCCTCCCCACACCGTAGGCACTATCTCTACAGATTCCATCGGCTATGAGTTCAAAATGTGGCTGTGGTGGCACATGCTCTTAATCCTAGCACTAGGAGGCAGAGGTGGATGGATCTCTGAGTTTGAGGCCAGCCTGGTCTACAGAGTGAGCTCCAGAACAACCACGGCTACACAGAAAAACCCTGTCTTGAAAAACAAAGAAAATGTTTGGAAAAATTGCATCTGTACTGAGCATGTGCATTCTGTTCTCCTATCATCATGTTATTCCCCAAACACAGCTCCACAGCATCTACACTGCATGCACACTGGATTAATTATAAAAAGTAACCGCACACACAGGAGGGTGTGACGGGCTCTTTGCAAACACCATACCATTTCACGAAACAGGCATATACACATCCTGAATTTTGGCATCTGGACCTGGTTCCCTGATGATACTGTGTCCCCTAATTTACTTGTAGGAAACTGCACAGGAGAAAGACTGAAAAAGCAAGTGCTTAAATTCCAGTAACGGCTGGGGGGAAGAGTGGGTGACCTCGCCTTTTGCTTCTTCTTTTTTTTTTCCTACAGCATGCATATCTCTACCTCAAAAATCAGTCAGGAAAAAGTTGAGCAAAAAATGAGCAACATGGAAGCAACCCCCGAGAAGACCCTTTTCTGATTAGTTGCCCTCTCTGGAGTCTCCCTTGGATGCTTCTTCAGAGAGTCTTTTTTATCTGTGATGTGGAAATTAAATATTCATTGTTATAAAAAATATATCTCCCTTGTCAGCCACCTGTGCACTCTAGCTCCGTAAACAAAAACACACCCAACCCAGAGTCCACACCTGGCTCCTATCAATTATATACTGACCAGCGGTGCCCACGAGAGGCCGTGGGCCCAGGAGAAGAGAGCTCAAACTGTGGCAGGTTCAAATCCTAGCCCCACCATGGATGCTGTTGCAGCTAACACCTCTGCCCCTGTCAGTGGCTGGGCTCACTGTGAGGAGCCCTGAGAGAGAACAGTGAAGTTTTGGGGAGAGAGTCAGGAGACGCTAGGTATCAGGGCCATCTGCCTTCAGAAGCAGCCTTTCTGCACTTTCCACTCTGGAAGTCCTTTCAGGCTGAAACAAGTACACAAAGGCCTGTACAGGAGGCTGAGGAGGGCCCTGTCATGGCAGTGCTGTGACCACATTCCTAGCGCTATCCTCTTATTACTTGAAGTAGCTCCCAGAACCATTCAAAGCTGCAGCACTTCCTGCTGTATAGCCTCATTTTCTTCTCTGTCCCTGCAGGCTCACCATGAGCTTTCTCCTCAGACTTCAGTGGAGGTTGGGGCTAGCCCAGGGTCATGCATCAGGAAGGGGCAGATACAGGGCTGTGCTAACTTCCATTCCCTGACCACCTGATACCTAGCATGAGACACCTTAGCTCTTCCACAACTGGAGAAAGACTGCTGTGGAAGGATGCTGATGGCAGGAGGCTCTGCATGAAGAAATGTGTTTCTTCTGGCCTAGCACGAAACTAGGTCCCTGCTGCCTTCATAGCCTATGAGGCTGAGTAGAAGGGACAAGCTAATCCATTGCAGAAGGGGTAAAGAGAAATATTCAGATGCAGAAGTAAACTGATCTCTCTCTTTTGCCTCTGCTCTCAAGCATGGGGCAGTTTCTAGCTGGTGTGGGGCAGGAATCCCAGCATTTTCACTCCACTCTGGGCAGCTTGAGGTGCATACTGGGTATGGGTGGATTGTAGGCCAAGCCCTGAGGCCCCTTCCCACCCATCCATGGCACTTAAGCTGGAGAGTCATCTCTGAGCAGGCATCCTTTGCCACTCAGAGTTTGTGCCTGTCTATCCCAGAACTGTTTTTCCATCTTGAAGACCTGACCCAGATGTCAACCCCTAGGAAGGACCTGAAGTTCCCAGCTATACCTGGCTGTGGGTCTTGGTACCTCATGGACCCCAGTTAATCTGCAATTCTGTTCCTGATGGAGCTCAAGGCCAGGGGCCTGGCCATTGCTGCTTTTCTTCCTCCTGGGGCCCACATTAGTAGGATGAAGGTTTGTGGTTAAAAGACTGAGGGCTGGCATGCTGGGGATCCTTCCTCCTCCTCCAAGAGCACCTAACACATTACACAGATCTCATCACTTTAGGGGTCTGATAAATGTGACCCCTGAGATACTTACATACAAAGTGTACAGGATTAAGAGCAGAAGGCATCAAGCTAGGGTTCGGGTTAACACCACAGGCACTGGGGTGGCCAGTGCTGTGATCCCTACTGCTGGAGTAACCTGTTATTACCTGAAGTGCCTCTGAGAACAGCAACCTAACATGCAGCCGTCTAGCCATCTCCCCCTTTGTCTGAGCACCTACCTACCTACTTACCTACCCAAAGTGCATTTCCTGACTGTGCTTAAGCAGATCTAGTGCTAGGGATCTGCTAGGGGACTACTGATGAAGGAGAGAAAAGTGAGCAGATAACCAAGCCAGAAAGCAAGCCAGGGGCTCTAGCTCAGGCTCTCCTAAGAATCACAGCGCTGACCACAGATACACACAAGACAACATACGTCCTTACCTGGGTCACATAGAGCCAAGTGCTTGGTGAGCCTCAAATTCACTGTGAATGCCTCTTCGACACCTACAGAAAGCACGAGCCCCTTCCCTGGCACAGACCATTCCTGTCACATTCCCAGAGAGCAGAGAGATAGCCTTTATGCTGGGAGGACTTTGGTGTCATTAAAGTGCTGCAGGGCGGGGTCATCTTTGACACCTGGGTCCTTCCCCCCCACCCCCCACCCCCGGTGTCCCCCGTGCTGTGACTGCAGGAAGCAGGAGAGGGAGCACTACTTCTCAGTCTACACCTAGCTTCTTTCAGCTGGCTCTGCCGGCAGGCCAGGCTCAGGTGTTCATAGCACATCATTGCTTCTTGAGTGACAGGCACTGGAGGGAAATGTGCCATGTGATTTGGTCAATCAGAGCTTTGTCATGTCCAGGACACAAGGATGGCGATGACTCAGAAAACAACTCACATGCTGTCCACACAATTTCTCACTAATTTTTCATAACAGAGAAAGCAAAGCTCAGAGAAGGGGTGTTCCTAGCCTGGGGTCACACAGCAGCTGAAGATGGGGCTGGAGTGGAATCTAGATTTGCCTGTCTCTAAACACCACAGGGTCCTGCCACCTGTTCCCTGGAGCTGAAACAATGAAATGAGAGGTAGGGGGTTTCCACTTCCCCTTTTAATGAAAGATGAGGTTTCAAAATAAACTTATTTAAATTCAGCTGCTCATGTTCTCCCATGAAAGATACAGTCAGATATTTGTCAGGGATAAAGGATGAACCATCGAAAATGTCCAGGTTTAAATTTTTTATTAGCTTAAGGCAGAATATAAAAAACTGTACCTCTTCCCTCATTAACCCAATTCAGCTACTACCCTGCAGTCTGCCCCCCACCATTTGCCTGCATTTTATTACACACAAAGGGGCTGTCTGGGAAAAGGCAGGCCTCGCTGAACTTGGCTACCCAGCAAGGGCTGTGATGTCACGGTGTGAGAGAAAGGCTCTGTCCATCACAGCTTGGACCTATCATCTCTCTGCTGCCCCTGCCTTGTCCACCCTGCAGTGGGGTTCCCATGCGGATGACTCCTGAGCCCTTTCTAATGTTTGGTTTAACGTGTCGCTGGTTAGCGCGCGTGTGTGACAGTGGTGACAGGCGAGGCTGTTCCTTTTTAAATACCATGTCAGAGACACGGCATCAGGAAGCTGGGATGTGCTCTGCGCTCTCTGCTGCTTCAGGATCGCACTGGCTTATTTTTTAATGAGGAAGATCTACATCGAGAGTTTTTTAATGTGTCACATCGCATGGACAAATCAGCTGCACGTCACGCTGGCCCGAAATGAAGTGCTGACAAATGTAGATGTTTCAAATTTAATTGACATTTAAATGCACTTGAGATAAAGATGGGAGGAAATCATCCAGGCCTTGGTCTCCTGAGGTAATGAGGGGACACCATGATCATTTTAGAAGAATCATTTCACGCTGGCACAAAGGGTCTTCACTTTGTAAATGGCCTGGCTACTTTGTGTTTCTTGATGACACAGTCCTGGTTGGGTAGCTTGTATAGACAGGCACTGGAGAAGGCCAGCCTGTCCATTTTCAACTTCTTTTTCCTTTCTTTCCAGACACCTTGGCAAAGTCGCTTTACCTCCTTGGACCTTGAGTTCTCTGCAAATGGGGATGCTGTGCTTTCCTGAAGGCCTGAGCAGGGAAGTGAAATGCTCGCCAAGGGCTTTGCATGGTGCCTACTAAGTACTGAGCCCTCAGCTGCTGTCCCCATGCTGCTTTACACAGTGATGTTGGACACCTCTCTCCTGGTCAGAGATGAAGAGGTGGTTGTTATCTTCCACACGAGCGGTCCTCCGCTGGATGTATCTCAGGAGATGGGTATCACCCAGCCAGCCTTACCTAGAATTCCCACAGCTCTTCCAACCACATGATATAGGACCATCCCCCCCAACCACAGACTTGGTAGTGGCTGAAAAGCAGAAAGGGCTCTGAGGCAAGGTTGGGTACCTCTGGGAGCCGGAGGCAGCCAGAGTAAGAGCTGCTGTGTTGAGGGAGGAGCTAAAGGCTGACACAGGAACTATGTACACAGGGATGTTTGTACTCAGTTACAT